CTTTGATTTTTTTTTTTCTGCCCAGCTTCCAGTTCTGAAAGCAATGTACACAGTGGACTACAATGGAAAATGCAGTTAAAATAGTGGTCAGTGTGACTGATGCCTGAGACAACCACTGGTCTTCATATCCATCTCCTTGCTAAAAGTGTACTGGAACTGCAGTGGTCTTCCCCTCCATGCCCATAATGTTCTTGTCTTCCTCTAAGAAATACACTTGTCTAATGCAGATGTGTGTCAGTTGTGTGATGGTGAAAATATTAGAACTTCCTTAGCAGATTGTCATTTAAAAGTGGCTGTTCCTAAGTACCCTTACTTACCAGAAGACTATAGGGCAACGAATCATTGTATATCATCAGTATTCACAACTAACCTTGGTATGGATAAACCATGTCATAATAATAAAAAAATAAAATAATAATTAAAAAAGTTAATAAATTATATAAACAACAAAAAAATTAAGCAAATTTAGAAGTATGTCACATCTTTAAAACCCACTAAGTTGCACTGGCAATCAACTGAATACATGACTTTATCCCTTAGCAGTATCTGAACAACAATGCTATATAAAAAAAATGAAGTGTGCAAAGAAAGAGGTGTCTCTACCAATCATCAGAGACTGTTTACTTTGGATAAAAGTAGCACATATTTTAAAAAAAACCACCCTACTTAAAACTTCCTATAAAGCTGTCTGGAGACAAGTCCTAAGTCAGAGAATTGTTGGGTGGATAAGCTCCTCTATGATATTGATAGAGTCATACTGTTGCAGAGGCCATCTTCAGGACGTGGTCTGAAATAGAACAGATGAATAATCCCTTGGACATGCCTGTTTTTCTTGACCCAGTCTGGTGGAGTACTGTCCCCAGTTGTGCCTCCCCACCTCTTCACTTGCCTGGAATCTAATTGCAAGGTGAGTCAGATGAGTGACATGATCCAACAGGGAACTTTCTGTAATGAGGTAGTTTTCAGCTGGATCAGCTGATTGTGAAGCCACAAATGAATTGGATCAAATTCCAAATCTGAGAAATGTGATGGCAGCACATAGTTGTGGGTAGAGGGAGTGCAGTGTTGCTACATTCTCTATCAGCTGTAGTTACCCTGAAATTAGATGCAATTTGAGACTACCTTTGAACTAGATTCCTTACTTTCAGATAGCCAATTTAGGCAGCACAAGTCCCATTCCAAATGCAGTAGGAAATAATACAAGCATTTTGAACTACATCTAACAAAGGAAGCTTAGCATACCTTTTTAAAATAGCATATTCATTATACTACTCACACATAAATTGGAAAAGCTGGTTTCGGTAGCCATCTGTGTCTGAGGGCAAAGCCCACACTTGGTGGAAGAGTGCTCTAACCACCACCCATTGCTGTGCCGTGGAAGAGTCATGGGACCGGGAGAAGAGGGAGATACAATATGATACAGAGTATTCAGAGGGCTCTCCTACTTCACCCTGTGTTCAACAGAAAAAAAAAATGCTACAGAAACAAAACATGTGCCATGACTCCAGAGCCTTACGATGCTTCCTGAGTGTAGATTATCTTTTTCAAAATGTTCAGTAGGGGAAGTAAAGCTGGGTTGGAATCCTTTTGGGTTGAAGACAGTCTAAAACCCCAGTTCCCCTCATCTCTCACGTTTGTTCTTACTGCAGGGCTACTGCATAAAAGTTCTGCCTGTTTTGAAAGGATTCTTATAATTCACTTTGAAACCCATCAGAGGGAAGGGATGAAAAAAGGGGGGATAAAACAGGCTCTGAGAACATCTACCATATGTCTTTTGTGAACATAATGGGGGATGATAAATGGTGAGGACGTAAAGCATCCTCTGAGAATATCTAGCAGATGTCATTGAATTGAGGCAGAATCCAAAGAAAATATGCAATTCCTTAAAAGTAGTCAGTCCTAAGCAGTAGATCAATGCTGGCCTGCATCAGCCACTGAAAACAAGTTGTGGATAGGGAAAGAAGCTGAACTTGATATCCTTGAAATTTTTTTTGTAAAATAAGGAAGTGCCTAGTGACTGTAAATGCCTGTGGGCTGAAGCTTGGTGTGCAGTTTGCATCCTGTGTGTCAGAAGTCTGCCTAATGCATGCAATCCCATTCATTATTAAGCATGGTTAGTGCTATTGATTGCATCTAATGTTTCTGTACTGCAATCAGTAGCAGCGTCTTTCTCATTTCTTGTTTGCACTCTTGCGATGTGCTCATTTTGCTTTTAGATGTCTATGAGTCTTCCCTCACATGTGTGCATGTGCTCTTTTTTGCTTAATTTGCAATCCAACTAGTTCGGAGTAATTAAACAGTACTAAAAGTCCTTAAGGACAATGACTTGAGTTTTACATGACAGCAGGAATAGGCAGAACATGTCATATCCTGAGTCAAATTGTTATCACGGGATGCAGCCCATCAAAGCCAACAAGATACTAATACAAAGTGAAGCAGCAAGATAACTGTGCAACCAAAGGCCACGGGACATTCAAGGTCCTGTGAAGAACTGATAGCCACTGATCTCGACAGGATCTAACCGTGGAGAAGTGGTCAGGCCCCTGTGCTCTGCTGTGAAAGACAGTCATAACCCTCCACCTTGGCTGCCAGGCTGCCTCCTTCAGAGGCGTGATGGCACCCACAATGACAAGAGTCAGTCAGCCCGATGTATAGGCAAGCTCTGAACGTTTTCTTTAGGGAGCGAACGTGTCTGGGCATGAAACCGACTCACCTCCTAACTAGGGAGGCACGAAAGAGCTCAGCACAACTAAACAAGTAAATCCCCGCTGTGAGCGGCCCCGCCGGCCCTAAACTGCCAGGCTTGGGGTGGCGGCGCTGGCAGGGGCGGGGCCGGTCC